CCTCAGATTGTTTCTTGTTGGCATACGTCTACCTTCCATTTCTGAAAAGGAATTGAACGAGTCGTTAGACTCAATTCAATGTCAAATGACGGAAAATGTTATAGACGCATATTGGCCCAAGTCACCGCCATACCAATTGTTAAGGGTACCATCTTAACAACTAGAGACCTTGCAACCTAGGTAACAATAGCTCCATAAACGCCAAAATACAATGCTCATGGTTTTCGGTAAGACTCTTTTCGAAAAATCCCTTGTGAGAGGTTGATTACATAGTTTAGAACTGAGATGGCTCTGATACCACTTAATTGTCACGCCCCAGACCGCATCTAAGTGTGTGTACAACCGCCGTGTGATTAAGTGACGTCACTCGCAAGTCAACCTCACATAATCACACAAGGCGTTCATGAACATCGTTCACACCATACTCAGTAGTAAACATACATAACAACATCACATCATAGATTGAATGAATGGCGGAAAATATTCAACGGTCAATCATAAGCCACATATGGCAACACGTAGGCTCGCAGGCCAAAACAATGTAATATTACAAAACTATCCATGAGCATAGTTTATGATTTAAAATAATAAAGGAGGTACGAACCACGTCTTCCTCTAGATTCTTTCCACCCGTGCAAAGGTGTAGACAACAGGCTTTAGCTTCAACCTGAAATGGTGGCCCCCCCGAAGGGGTCAGTACAAGTACCGAGCGAGTAGCAAGCTAAATGTAGAGTAACTAACGTTTCAAGTATAAGACCCAAATATAGGGTGATACATATACTTATACTTCCTTACCCCAAGTTACAAAATACATATCAGTACTTATACACTTGGAAATACTCGACCCGTAGGTCATTGTTTAATTGGGAAAAATAATAGTAGTCAATGTCCTTGACTTAAAACCCCAACCCACCCATAGAGCTATGAGTGTATAGGACTCATCATGTCCAAATCAAATAATCATAAGGACACCGCCCGGTCCTGAATTACTAAATAGTAATCTATGAGTTTTGAGGATACACGCTCGATCCTTGGGTACTCCACCCTATATAACCGAGTTTTGAGGATACCGCCCGATCCTTGGGTACTCCACCCTATATAACCGAGTTTTGTGGATACCGCCCGATCCTTGGGTACTCCGCCCTATATAACCGAGTTTTGAGGATACCACCCGATCCTTGGGTACTCCACCCGACCTATGATCTACCACATATCATACTAGATAGGGCCTATATCATAATCAATAAAACAAGACTAGACCAAGTCTTAAGGCCTAAACAAAATCATCCATGCAACTCATGCATTAAAATTAGCATATAGGTAAAGTAAGGCCAAACCGGTGCCGGTCAACTCTCAGTTGACCCGCCATTCCAATTCCAATGTGTGTCAAACTTAGTCACAATATGTACTAAGTTATAAATAACTATTTTATGCACATTTCATCTCTAAACATATCACATATGTTTTTATGAACATTTTTACTTCACAAATCATGCATATTTCAATAGTTCACTTCACACAAGCCTAATCACTTTAATTGGCTAATCACATGTTTAATTCATTTAAACATTATTATGAACACACATAACATATACTTAGGTAATCTCATGCTTAACCCAAAAGTTACAAGACATTAAGTCATCCACTCACCTCAAATGAGCTTTAGGAAGATTCTACTCTTCTTAGTTGAACTCCGGCGAGACTCCGGCGAACTCCGGCGAACTCCGGCGAAACTCTGGTGAAACTCAGGCGAAATCTAGAACCACTCTAGTCAAGCTCCTAACATGTTTTTATCATTACAAAACCCATATCAACACAAATAACCCCTAAAAGGTTATTTTCCGGCGTCCGGTCGTTTTGGCTTCTAAGTCCGTTCTTGGACTTAGAACTACCTTCCAACCCCTCATTCTACAATTCTAAACATGTAGAACAATACTAGGGGTCCTTCATATGCTATATAAGCCATATGATAAATTAAAAGTAGAGGAAAAGTTATTATGAGGTTATTACCTTAATGCTTCACAATTTTGCATTTTTCCTTCTTAAATCCTCCTCTTTGGACCACTATGGCTAGAGCTCGAATTTGGATGTGAAAAGGGTGAGTTGCAGAGCTTCCTCTTGCTATCTTGGTGAGCTTGGGCGGATGAATGGAGGTGGTGAGGGGAGAGAGGTAACTTTTGTCTCATTTAGACAAATGAGTGAGGTGGAGGTCCACCTTTGGTCCTTTCTCACCCAATACATCACCCTCAGCCCCCCTTCTCATTATTCACAGCCATAATTTGAAAATATGAACACCCAAAAACGTGGGGTTGCAGAGCTTGGACTGTTTTAACTATATTTTATTTTTTCGGGTCAAATAAAATATATTAAGTGTCCTCCATCATTATGGGTCTTTATAATGAATCTACATACCCCAACTTTAATTTAGAAGTCTCCGAAATTCGTTTTGGACTGTTATCCGATAATTTACTAATACCGGTAATTGAGCCTCGTTTGATCAACGAGTCAACCCTATGCCCTTTCTATGGCCCAATTTAAATATCCACCACCATATAAATATTCTCTAGACCAAAATGAATATAATACGTGGTCCCGGGTTTAGCGGGTGGTCCCCGCTCCCGATGTGGGCCCCACGTGCAATTCACTATTCACGCAAACGTAATAATAAAAATTTACAACCTCTTAAATTCACGAATCATTATTCAAAGTTTATTACATGATTTACTAAAAGTAAATATACTTGGGGATGGTGTTACAAGGGAAGTTTCTCAGGGCGCGCACGAGTGAGGACAAAGTGCGCGGAAAAGGCTAGTGGCGGTTTGTGAGGACAGTACTAGAGGTCTGGAGTAACTACCTCGGGTCCTGCTGGGCCGGGGTGTTACAATATCAACTCCCTAGGTGTTGCGATTTTAATTCCTAGAATTACATCAGCAACACTGAAATCCTTTATTTCAATTAGTTTGGCCAACATACTTTTGGCAGACTTTACCAAGGTATCATTGCCACCAAATATGAGCATATCATCTACATATTGATATATTATTATGTAGTCCTTCTGACTTCTCTTCATATAGAAGCATTTGTCAACCTCATTAATTTTAAATTTATTTGTTAGCCTAATTGATCTTTAAACTTATAATGTCATTTATTGGAGGGGGGGGGGGGGGGGGTTTGTTTTAATCCATAAAGATATTTAAACAGGCAACCAAATTTCTTTTCTTGTTTAGGCACAATGAAACCTCCAGGTTGTTGTATGTAATTCAGTTTATCCATATCATCATTCAAGAATTCAAGAATGTAGTTTTTACGTCAATTTGATGGATTTCCGAACCATTTAATATAACTATTGCTAATAACATTCAGATGAAGTTATTCTTATTATTGACAAATTGATATCGAGATAGTCAAACTCTCCTATTTGGTTGTATCCTTAGGCAATCATAAATGGAGTTTTTTTACTTCTCAATTGTTCCATCTGTTCTACTTTTCTTTTTAAAGATCCATTTGCATCGTAGAAGTTTAGATCCAAGAGGCAAATCTATCATTTCCATATGTGGTTATACATGATGGAATTAATTGACGTTTGATGACCTACCCTCTTTCCATTGTGAAGTGTATGGCGGAGACATGACTTTCTAATTATTTTGAGACTTGTTATCTATTAGGGTAAGGGTGTTGCAGAGAGATCGATATACATGACTCTCGATGATGATGTATTTTGATTACATGTTCATAATTTACCTCTAGGTTTTATGAAAGAGAAAATTGCAACAACAAATAATAGTTATTATATCGGTACTCGTATTCAAGTCTCGACACACTCTGGAGGGAGCATGTAACTCATGTGTGTGGATTCAAGTATCCATTATTGTGAATAAGGGGCTAAAAGGAGAATGAGTACTTGTAATGAAGAAGAAAAATTGGGTTGGGCAGATTTTCAGCATTAGGGGCTTCCAAACTCCTGCTTCATTTCTGATATGTTGGGACATGTTGAACCTTTTCCCCTTCTATGATCTGCTCTAGAGATATTTTCCACCGTGGTTTGGTGAAAAATCGTATGGGATGTGGTTTGAGCAAACATGGTGTTCATCCTCGAAATCACTGGTTGGTTCCAAAAGTAGGTAATAGTTTTTCAAGTAAGGTGAGATGTATAACAATAGTGTAATGGCAAGAAGATATGATGTATCTATGAGAATAAGGAAGTCTATGTAATGGTGACATAGACGAATAAAAAATAATGTGGACGCTATGCTTGTGGAGAAGCACCGCCCACCATCTATATGTGTTTAAAGGTGACCGAATCTCAAAGATGTCGATGAATCCCTAAGAATCTCACTTCTTTGCTGCTATGTCAAACCAAGATTTCGATGGTTTATTTACCGATAGTTCGGTTAAATCGGGACCTTTTGGTGGTTGGTCAATCCGAATTTCTTTGAGTTTGGTTTTTCATTTTATCAATGTTAATTGTTGGAACTATTATTTTAGTAGCATATATAAGGGGTCAATGTGTGACACAAATTTATATTTGTATAGGGTTAGCAAATTGACGTGTGTAAAAAAATTCAATGCCTCGCCCTAAAATGTCATTGCTCATTATAATTGAAATTCTCTTGATCCATCTTTATCATTAATAAACAAATTTACTCCTTTCAAAACTAATACAGTAACATGTAATGATTTATGCTAGAACAAAGTTAGTATAAATTGGGAAATTTAAAACAAAAAAAGACACCCCATCCCTGAGACCCCCAACCCCGACCTGACGATACGTTGGGAGGATGTAAATTGGACTATAATCCCAATCTGATAGATAGAGAGTGAGTGAGACTCTGTCCCCGTTACTTGCAGAGGCTCTATGCATTTTTAGCACAGTAACCTCTCATCGAAGTTGCCGAAATTCGAACCCGAGATCTGACAATTGTGACACTCCCTTTATCTCGGTTGAGCTAAGTTTGGAAAATCTAAAACGAAATACCACCGCCGTCCGAGATAGAAATTGGTTTTAGATTAATGGGAAAGGAGGGTCAAATGGTCAAAATGTCAACCCCACGCACTCCTCCCCAAAACATTGCTGCAGATAATAATACAAGCAAAGCAATCACAACAAGCCAGCGACAAGCTCATACAATACTGGAAGCAACGTGGTTGGTTCCCTCTTTCCCCCGAAGTTTCATCTCTGGGAGCTGAAACATCCAGGAAGAAGAAGAAGAAGAAGAAGAAGCACTACTCTTAATTAATTAGCTTTATCCCAGTATTACTAGTAAGTAGTAACCTTCACATCATTATCCTATCCTGCTACTTCCTTCTGGGTATTTTCTCTTTCGCTCCATATTTGCACAGAGCTCCCATTTAATCTCACACGCCTCCAGATTCACACCGTTTTCTCCAGGATTTGGCTCCTCGCTGCCAAATTTTATATATAGTTCTCTTTTCACCGCCAATCTGAGAAATCGGTGGAGCCATAAGGTTTGCGACTTTTCCAGTTATTCGCCCCTCTTTCCATATTCTGTATTGTTCTTGATGTTTTGAGTATTTCTGGTTGGTGTTCTAAGCTTGTTATGTTAGTTCATCTCCAAAATATGCATATGCCTTGATTTGCTAGCTCTGGGTGGGGGTTAGTTTAGGGATTTACCGGATAATTTTGATGGTATGGGAGATTGTCAGCCAGCAATGGAAGAGGAGGAAAACTTGATTGCTGCTTTGCAGCACATAGCCAAAACACTGGGTACTAAGAGGAATTTGACGGATGATGCCAGGAAGAAATTGGCAGATCTGGGCACCCAATTGGCCTCCATAACTAGAATCTCTGAAAACAACGATGATGATGATGATCAAAGGCTGGAAGATTGGGTGTCTGAGTTTGAGGAACAGCTTAACTCTGTGCAGGCTAAGATCATGAGCTGGGAAGGAAACCCCTCTATGCTATGGGATTGTGGGCCTGAAGAGGCGTACGGCTATCTGAAATCCGTGGACGAAGCCCGGAAGCTCGCCGAGAAGTTGGAGACTTTGTGCCTTGGGAAAGACATCAGAGAGTCCGATCTTCTAAGGAGGGTTCATGATGTTCTTCAGGTAGCAATGGCCAGGCTTGAGGATGAGTTCATGAACTTGCTGGTCAATAACAGGCTTCCATTTGAGCCGGAACATATGTCTTTCCGTTCAACTGAAGAAGATATTGTGGACGGGAGTTCTACTATCTCATTCGGCGATGAGTCGGTTGATGATGGGCCCCAGAGAGATAGCATGAGCCGCAGCTCAGAGGATTACATCATTGAACTCGTCCATCCGGACATCCTCCCTGATCTGAAGTGCATTGCCAATTTGATGTTTGATTCGAACTACGGCCGGGAGTGCAGCCAGGCGTTCATCAATGTCCGAAAAGACGCGTTGGATGATTGCCTCTTCATCCTTGAAGTGGAGAAGTTGAGTATTGAGGATGTGCAAAAGATGGAATGGAATTCATTGAACTCCAAGATGAGGAGGTGGGTCCGAGCATTCAAGATCTTCGTCCGCATATACCTTGCCAGTGAGAAATGGTTAGGTGACCAGATCTTCAGCGAGCTCGGATCGGTTAGTTCTGTTTGTTTCGCGGAGTCCTCAAAGACGTCACTCCTACAGCTTCTAAATTTCGGAGAGGCAGTCGCAATCGCCCCAAAACAGCCCGAAAGGCTCATCCGGATTCTCGACATGTACGAGGTCCTCACTGATCTTATCCCGGAGATTGATTCCTTATACTTCGACGATGTTGGCTCGTCTGTTCGGGCGGAGTGCCGAGACGTCCGGAGAAGTTTGGGGTATTGCGCGAAATCCACATTTCTAGAATTCGAAAATGCTGTCGCGTCCAACACATCAGCAAACGCCTTTCCCGGTGGTGGGGTTCACCATATCACTAAGTATGTTATGAATTACATGAGAGCCCTCATGGATTACAGCCGAATCCTTAACGGGCTTCTAAAGGACGAAGAGAAAGAAGACACTGGTTCGCCCGAAACAAGGCCGTCGAGTGAAGACGATCCAATTGCAATAAACTTCCAATCCTTCACTTCAACTTTGGAATCCAACTTAGATTCCAAATCAAAGCTATACAAGGACAAAGCTCTCAAACACCTTTTCTTGATGAACAATCTGCATTATATTGCAGAAAAGGTGAAAACTTCAGAGTTAAGAACGGTCCTTGGAGATAACTGGATTCGCAAGTGTAATGGGAAATTCCAACAGCATGCGAGGAGTTATGAGAGAGCCACGTGGAGCTCTGTACTTTATCTTATCCGCGACGAAGGGATTCATAATCCGGGATCTAATTCTGTTTCCAGAACTCTCCTGAAAGAGAGATTACAAAGCTTTTATCTGGCGTTTGAAGAGGTTTATAAGAACCAGACAGGATGGTTGGTCCCGGACCGTCAACTTAGGGATGACCTGATCATTACAACGTCTCTAACGGTCATTCAGGGTTATCGCACGTTTGTGGGAAGGCACGCTGCGAATGTTAGTGATAAGTATATCAAGTATAGTGCTGATGATCTGGAAAATTACTTGCAGGATCTTTTTGAAGGTTGTCCAAGATCATTGCATGGCTCTCACAGGAAGTGATGGTGATGATGGTCAGACAAAAGAAGTGGTAGTAAAAGAATTTTGTTACTCGTTTTATTGCCATTTTTTTTCACATTGGTAGGCATTGTTGCTTTTCAGCAACATTTAAGCCCATTTGTGATTAGGGAGGGAGTGCATAAGTCATATTGTTATTCTGGTGTGCTAATTTATCCTTGATGGCCACTTTTCAATTCCGTGTTATTATCATTATTATTAATTAATCAGGGATTTGCATATACTTTGTGATTTTATTTGTTACTAGTATTATTGTTGTTGTTATAGTTGGGACGGGATAGGGAAAATGCAATGGATTTGAACTCAGTAGCAGTTCTGCAGGAAAAATGCACTTGCATGGTTAGTTTGGCAAAAGGAGAATGATTAGTGGATATTACCCTCTCTGGGTCACCCGGAAAAAATATATTCTACTCACCGTCCCTTAAAACTTTACCGATCTTTTCTTTTTGGGACATTCCAAAAAATTTGTCACTTTTTATTTTAATCAATTATTTTGTCGTTCTAGTTGTTTCTCTCTCCTCTGCACAAATATCAACTACACAATTTTTACTTTATTATTTTTCGTGCTGATCAAATTTGGCAAAATTTTAAGGGACATAGGTAGTACGTATTATGTATAACCATATATTAAAAGGACTAATCTATTCAATGTGTAGACAATATTTTTAAATAAAAACAAGTTATTCAATTTCAGTTTCTAATGATTTAGATCTATGTACACTAGGTCCAGTTTTCAACCAATCAAAACAATTCTAAATAATAATATTCGATTTCTTGAAAGAAAAGCATAATATTCATATTAATTAGAACCGAATCATCATGGCACCATTTTTTGTTTTGGATTAGAATTCAAGTTATTTTTGTACAACAAACGTTCATAATTTTGATTTAGAACTATGATAATGTCCAATTTTACACGTCGTGTCACAAAATTACAATGTCAAAAATTCTTTCATAAACTTGGGATGAAATTGTGAGCCCTAACATGCAAGTCCCGACCGAGCTCAACTTTTTTAATAACTCTATTATGGTATCATCTTATTTTTGTTGGAATACGCCCTTTATTTTACAAGAGGATCCCAACATACATTTTAGTAACATAACCATGAACTAATATCCAAAGAAAGCATCAACAAACTTCTTATTTTTTTGTGCAATAACCACAACAAGTAATTGTAATTGGTAAGAAAACAATGAATATATCTTGTGTATGGAATTTCATTTAAGATAATCTTAAATCCATTAAGCTCATCACCCATATTATTAGAAGTCGCATCATATCATTGATTTCTAATTTTGGAAAAAGATAATTCGTACTTCACTAAAAGAAGGCACTAATGTCACTTTTCAAAGAATGACAATGCCAAGAACATGTCTAACTGTATGAAATCGCTTCATCATAACTCCATAATCATTTAAATGTCTTATAACAATTTACATATGCTCTTTGACAGAATTGTTACATATACAATAGTGGGACACTGATTTTGTCATAAGTACTACAGAGTAATACTAAAAAAAAGCATGTGAGACACCCGGTACTTGCAAAAGCAACGTGTGTATGATAGAAATTACTATTACGGAGTATACTAGTAAAATAATAATGTTGTTACCCGCACGGGTAGCTTAGTTGGTCGAGTGGTGGGAGATTTGGAACAATGGACCAAGATTCGAATCCTCGCAGCGACCGGGTGGAGATCACGGAACCTGAAATAAGGCTGGGTCTCTGGTGCGCACGGGTGTATGGGCCTACCGCCATTCTGCTGACTGAGTCACCGTGACTGACCTCCCCACCATCCTATCAGGTCGGGGTGGGGGCTCCTGGGGTGGGAGATTCCACATTTTGGAACAATAATAATGTTGTTAATGGTTCTTTCTTTGGTTTTGTACTGTGTTTGAGTCGGAACATTTCTTTATATTTAAATCCTTATTTGAATAGTAGATGCAATAATGGTGTTAATTTAGTGTACACCTTTGAAAGGTTAGCGAGTTGAGTAATTCCTGAACAATATTCCAATTCTATAAAACACCATATTGTAGTCATTGGCTCGATTGATATGTTCCTTGTTACATTTATCATTACTTAATAAGTTTATTGTCTTAAAAAAGATAGCAACAGTGATAATTATAACAATAATGATATAACAGATGAGGGTATAATAATAAAATTAATAGTAACAATTCTAATAAATAACATAATTGTAAATAAAGGGAAACTATTAATGGTAATAATAATACGGTTAAGTCTAATTTAATTTGGTATGATCTTATCCAATCTCACTGAATTCATCCAATTAAAAACATCTTAAGTTTTATAAATAGAGAAGGTTTACAATTGTCCAGGACATGGTTTGGTGATTGCTTGGTTTGATATGTGAGTAGACTTAAAATAATTCATGCAAATAAGTTTAAAATTGTTTAAATTTTTGAAAGGAATGGGTACTACTAATCCATCAATTATTGAACCAATTTGAAAAAAAAAATACTATCAATAAAATATGTAAATTTTAAATGAGTTCGAAAATTTTGGACAACCTTGATTTCAACATATGGTCCAATGTATCCAAACAACTGAATGGATTCATCTAATACATTATGATTGCAATAGTTTTTAATGTGTGGCCCGAAAAAATTATTAATTAATGTCTTTAAAGAAATGGAGGGGATGAATTTATTTATTAATATCTTTAAGAGATGGAATCTTTTATGCATCCCTACTTTCAAGTGGTCATCAATTAAAATAAAATTAAATAAAACCAATGAAAAGTGAGAATCATACATAAATGCTCCGTATTACTAATTTATTATTATCAGACGCAAGTGGCCACAAAACGTTAGGGGTGTGGGCCGACCCGAGGGCCCAAGACGGAAAACCAACCTGTCAATAACTGATTCTAGTCCACCCAAAGACCCGATTTAACAATACCGGTTTTATTTACATTTATCTCTAATATTTTCGCAAACATAAATTAAAGTAGGTTAGGCCATTGGCCTACGGCTGGAAATTGCAGACATATTCATTTGACAACCATGTCCACCCACCTAAACACCCATATTGATTGAGTTGACTGGAGCGACCTAATAGAGGTCAAAATTTTTAAAACAGTGTGAAGGTCAAAATTTGGAGGGGTGGGAAGGTCAAAATTTTAAAAACAGATCCTGTCCATTTGAAAACAGTGTTTATATTTATATTTTTTTGTATTCCGCCTTCGTCAATAAAATGCACTTAACGTATTTTTTATATATCAATTTAGTAAAACATTATTTAAGTTATTAGAAGTAATGTTTTCTTTTTTATATTTCCTTGAAAAGCTATAAAATAAAATAAAACATTTTAAAAATAAATCAATTTCATTAACTTTTTAATTATTCCATTAACAAAAATGAACTTGGTTTAAGTAAAGTTCGATTATGAAATATTCAGTTATTTGTGAAGGCCCCATGAATAAAAAATTCATGTTTCGTTTTTTTGGGTTCAAGAAAAATTCAACAATAAAAACTTCAGATTTCTTTCATTTTATACATTACATATTGGTGTCATATGGAAGATCATAAAATTTCATGAATTTTGATAGATTTTTTGAAAATTTGGAGAACAAATACAAAAGTTATACTCCTTCACTCCGCTAAGATTGTGTCATACCATATTTGGTAAAGTTTGTGTGATTCTTTATCATTTTTACTTTATCAATTCAATAACAACCACATAAACTCACTTTTCTTAATAATCATGTCACATTCTTCCGTCCCAATGTTAGTGGCACAGAGGTAGTACGGAGTAATAGTTTAAAACAATTTGAGATTTTGACGATGTCTGCGTGACGTCTTGGTGACGTCACCAGAATGCATAATCTTAACGAAGCTCTGCCCTTCTCTTTTCTTTTCTCTTTTCATTTTCTTTTACCTTGTCAACTAGGCTCGGGACTTTGAACCGTAAAATCGATCTTATTATTTTATTCTTACTTTATCAATTTAATATCAACCACATAAACTATTTTTATTGATTTACGTGTCACTTCCTCTTGTCTCATTGTTAGCGGGTCAGAGAGAGTATAAAATAAGAATGAGCGGAACCACTAGACAATGACTTTATAGGAATAATGGTAAAGTTTTTGAAATAGATAAAAATGTTGGTACGGAGTAAAATCTAATGGAACAAGGAGTATGACAATGTAGACCCTTTGTAGACCCTTAGACATAAAAAGCTCGTTTGGTTACCTTTTTTGTTTATCAATCTTATCATTCAACTTTTTCATTAAACACGTAATTTTTGATTTCGTTTGTTAAGTTATTTCATAATCAAAATAAGTATGATTGTAGTTACTTTTCTAATTGAATTGACTGAAGTTATTATAGAGAGTTGTTTTAGTTATTTTTCCATATAACATTTTCTTTATTTTATGAATAATTATGTAATATTTTTTTCAAATTTCACGATAATCAATCAATCTAGATACGTCAACCAGAACTTCATAAATTTCAGCAGAATCAAACGACGCAGCCAAATTGAGTGTTCCAAACGGAGTCAAAATTTTAAAGAGAACCACAAAATATAAATGTGAGGCTACTGCTTAAGAAATGCTGAGGCTACTGCTTAAGAAATGCAGAGTATATGATGAAGGTAAGGTTAGTTGATTGATGAGTATGATAAGGCTTTTTAGTGAGTATGCTTAAGTGAAAAGAAACTATAGCTTTTTGCTGAAGCAGTGGACTCGGCAGTTGGGTGAATGTGAGGGAACTGCTGAGGCACCTGCTTGGGTTAAAAGCTTATTGGGTTAAGCAAACTTCTTGGTGATGTAGTGACAATCTGGTGATGTTTGAGATTGTTGGTCCCAAAATACTAACAATCATACAATCATAACAGTGATAAAGAAGCAGATAGAAAGAAATCGATAAGATTGAACGTGAATCTGGTATACCGTATGAACCTGCCGCTACTCTCCCTGGAGAAGGAGAGCAGCGGCAACCCTAATATCTCTCTATCTCGCCTCTGCGTCTCTAAGCCTCTTGCGATCAGTTGGGGTTCCCGTAAGTTAGCCTCCTTTTATAGGAGAAGTTGGCTAACTTACGGGTTACAAGGAAGCCCACGGGCTGATACACATTTGTGGCCCGTATTACACTTTTAATTAATAACTACATAAATACAAAGATAACTAACTAGATTGAACACCATAAAATATTCCCAACAATCTCCCCCTTGGTGATCAATCGTGTTGAATCAG